GACAAAATATAAGTCAGTTTTGAAGGAGAAAGGAGTTAGAAATGGCTTTATATTCTCTCTCTATATATATATATATTAAGACAGGATTTCATTTTGTGGACCAAGCTAGCCTCAGACTCACTGTGGACTCAAGCTCCTGATCCTCCTGCTTCAGCCTTTCGGGAGCGAGGATTACAGGTGTGTACCACTATAACTCAGCTTCTTCAGTGAGAACCTCAGTGGTCCTCACCTCCTTAGTTTACTGATGGATACTCTGGGGCCCAGAGACAGAGAGACACTTAGCCAAGCACACACAGCTAGAACCCAGGTTTGCCAGCTCTTAATACTTTTCCCACTGGGCCTGGCTGCCCTGCTGGGGACAAGCTGTGAGGACAGAAGAGGTTTGCATGGCTCTGGGGCTCTTCCAGATTTGTGGAGAAACAGAACTTTGAGACTAGCTAGCAGCTGCTGCTGAGACTCCAACCTGGTTTCTCAGGGCTCCTCAGTGTCCGGCTGAGGCTGAGTCGCCAGAGGGGTTTTGCAGACTCCTGTTTGTTTTATCTTTTTGCTCTTAGCAAGCATCTTCAGACATAAACTGTGTGGTGGTTTTCAAAGAAAAAAACCAAAACCCTGCAAGAGAAATGCAAACTCCCAGAATCCGCCGTGCTGTGAAGAAAACGCAATGGCTTTATGATCTTTTAAGACACACAAGAGAAGGCTTTCTCCCACCAGATGGGAATCTCAGGCCATCTTGCTTCTTCCTGCTTTGCGTGACCAAACCCAATTGTATAAAGCTTTTAGCTTCAAAGCTGGGTTCTGAATAACATTGGCTTAACCTGAAATTTGAAGCCAGCATTTCTCCGCTTCCCGAGAAGGGGCTTCCTGCCCCTTGCTCCCCTGAAGCTAGCTTCCAGAATGTTAATTCTATGAGCCATGGTTGACTAAGCCCAGCACTGGGTCTATTACATATTATTTGATTTGGAGCTGAAAGAAAAAAAAAAGATTTAAAGATACCATGCCCCTGTATACCTTTGTACTTTTGCCTGTATCTGTCTATATATTTAAGCATACTATCCACGGTGTGAGTTTTTCTGTAGCCTTCCTCTAAGACTACAGTCTCCAATTAAGTCAACATCTCTGAAGCGCCACAGACGGTCACACTGCCTGCCTGGCGGGTCAGACTTGCCCTTGTGCTGGGGATGATTTTTTGTGCTCATTTCTGTAGCTGCCTCTGAGCACATGATCGCTTGGTGTAGTTCATACCCACAGTGCACCCACTGTGTGCAGCATCCAGAGGCAGACTGGCATGCCCTTGCCCTCTTGGCAATCAGATTCCTTTTTGCTAGAGTGCTCACCTTGGCTGATACTTGCGCCTGGCCTGGCCTGGCCTGGTTAGTTTTCAGTTAATGTTTACCTCTCCCACAAATGGAACTCTGGGAAGGAAAGGCCTATCTTGCCTGTGGCTGCATCCTTTGCATCAACACTTGCAGAGCTGGGCTGAGGCAAGAGGGAATGGCTGAGTGAAGACCCATAGAGGGATCCCGATTTGCACAGACCAAATTTGCAGAAGGAAGGTGTTGGTCGTAAATGCTTTGCATGGGTACTTCATCAGGCAGCGACAGAGATGAACTAGCGAATAGCGCAGTGTGAGCACGAAGGGCCAGGGGCTTGCTGCAGAGATGCGGGGTGGCTAGAGTCCTGAGAATGGGAGCTGGAAAAGTCCTGGGGTAGGACGGAAGGCATCCTGCAGGAGGAAGTGTGTGCACTTGCCAATGAGAAGTGTAGTTTGTGTTACTCCTGGGTTGATTGGGTAACCTGCAGCTAACAGGCTGACAGCAAACACTATCTTGATTGGCGCCTGGTCTCCAAAGATGCAGTTGGAAGCAGAGTTTAGGAAACAGGGCCCAGGGTTGAGGAGTGAAGTGGGCAATTCTTTCCCCAGCTGCTCAAGTCTGCTCAGGGCTCTTTCAGTAAGACTCAAGTTTTCTGTGGCCTCTGAGCCTCTCTACAGGCTCCTGGGATTTCATCTCTCCCTCTCTGTTCCTCTCCTACCCATCCTCTGCTTGTGATTCAAACACAGTCCCCGCCCCTTGGAAGCTCTCCCCTTCCCCACCCCCAGGGCAGGGGCATTCCCTCTAGTTTTACATGGCTACACGTGTGTATTTCTGTGCATTGCTTTATACTCACTGTCGGGCAGTGTGCAGTCCCATGTTTGTTTGTTTGATCTCTTCGCGGAAGTGGGCTGTCCTATCGAGATTGCATCCCTCGCCACGGCATCCTCTCTTCTTGTTTGCTTTATAAAAATTTAATTTGCCAGTTGGAGAGATTGCTCGGTGGTTATGAGTACGTATTACTCTTGCAGAGGTCCCTGCACCCATATCACACCTGTCTGGAACTACAGCTCTAGGGGAATCAAGGCCTCTAGCCACTGTGGGCACCCACAGTTATGAACACATAACCCCTCCACACAGACACAACATCTATACGTACACATACTTAAAAACAAAATCATCTTAAGTTTTTAATATTACCTGGTACAGAGTAACTTTTTGAATATTTACTAAATTGAACGTGTAATTATGTCTTTAGGAGTGGCCTAAGTCTTTTCATGGCTGTTCCTTATTTGTTTTTTGTTTTTATTCTTGACATAGAATCTTTTGATAGGCTAGTCTGGAACTCTCGCTATTCCTGCCTTCACCTCCTGAATTCTAAGATTACAAGCATGTACCGCTAGACTCAGCAATCCCATGACTTCTTAAGGAAATGTCACTTAGTTCTTTCCCCACTGATCAGGCATGTGAATGGAGGTGCTTGCATGGGACAAGTTGGTAGCATCTGGGTCATCAAAGCAGCCTGAGTTCCCTTGAGTGCAGCCCATGGGTCCAATATTGACTTAGAGAAAGTCACAGCTGGATCAGGCCAGCTCTTTTCCTGAAAGGCCCTGTAGAAGTGGGTCCAGGTCCCAGCTAAGCTGCTTGAGCCCACAGTGCACACAGTGTTCTCAAGGGGCCCAAGGACCTATTGTACATAACCTGAGTTGGCTCCATACTCTGAACCCTCACTCTGTGCTGGGCCCTACTTGGTTACCAGTGACCTTGTCCACAGGGATCCAGAGTCATGTCACCCTCCCTGGGCTTCCTCAGGAGATGAAGCTCCACCCTCCAGGGCTCTCAGCTTAGAGGGTCTAGCTGGCCAGGAAGCCTCCAGGCAAGGCAGAGTTGGGCCTTCTCAGGGAAACAACCAGTAGGAGAAAGAGAGGAGATCTTGGGGGGAGTTGGTTTCATTTGGAGTTTGCTGACTGCCTGGGAGGCAGCACGCAAACTGGAGAGGCTAGCTGAAGTAGGGAGGCAGAAAGCAATCTCTTAAAAATTGATGTGATCTCCATGGCAGCAAGAAACCTGATGGGTGCTCTAGAGTGCAAGGTCACTGGGGCAGAAGTGGCTGGGACAGGATGACTGGACAGAGAAGTTGCTGAGTGGGAGCAAGCTGAGCATTGCAGGTGTGCGCGTGTGCATGTACATGCATGTATGTGTGCATGTGTGCTCATGGGCATGTGTGTATGCATGTGTGTGTGTGAAATTTAAAACATACAAAAGACGGTTCAACCCCATTTTTCAAATTAATAATTCATTGTATTTTCTTTGAACTAAAAACACCATCCCCAGAGACAGATATGGTGGGCAGCTAATGTAGCAGGATACTTTCTTAACTTGTGCATCAGAATAGGCAGTGCTTACAAGTTCTGAAACAAAAGGCAGATGCATTATATGCAATATTTCTTTTATATTTGTGCTAGAAAATATGTATACACAGAATACATGTATCTGAACATTAGTAAGAACACACCAAGCCATTTTTTTCTTCTCTGTTTTCACAAAACACTGTGGGCATCAGGATCCTGCACCTTGCTCATTCTTCACATAACCGTGGATCCTGAAGGTCTTTGCATCTTGGTTTGCTTGCTGTTCACCGCTGCATGGTTTTCCGTTGTTCCAGTAACGCCACAGCCTGTTTAGCTAGCTCCCTATGAATGAACTTGGGTTGTTTCCAGCCTTTTGTTCCAAGAGCCTTGTGCATCTATCACGTTCCATATACATAAGCCAGCTATAAAATATATTCCCAGAAATGCCGTCTCTCAGGGATAGTGCACATGGGATTTTGACAGGTTTTTGTCATGTCATCTAGCACAAGTGTGTGACTAGAATGGTACAAGTGTCCTCCTAGCTTCCTAGAACAGTGTGTTACAGACTGGGCACAATGGCAGTGATGGATGTGCAGGGTGAGGTACAGAAGGGGCGACAACACCCATGACTAAGTCTCTGACTCACCCTGAGCTCAAATCCTTGGGCAAAGAAACTGTGTCATTTCTGAAGGCCTGGAGTTTTCATCTGCGAAACGGGGGGGGGGGGGGGGGGGGGGGGGGGGGGGGACTAGTAACATACTGAATTAGTTCCTATTTTTGTTCCTGCCACGCAATTCTTCAGGGCAGGTAACTTGGTAATTCCTCATGATTCTGCAAGTTCAGACCTGCAGTGCAGGCTCAGCCTTGTGTGAGTGTGCACGTGCTTGTGTGAGAGAGGAAAGAGCTGAGATGAAGAGGGGCAAGAGGAAGCAGGATAGGCACCACCAGATAGGAAGCCAGAGAGGAGGGCACTACTAATCTCATGACCTCCTCCCCTCCATCCCTTTTACACACTCACTCACTATCAAACCTGCAACACATAAACAAACACTAGGAGCACAAATACAAAGCACGGCATATGTATGAGGGGTCCGTGTGGAAAGTCAGGGACAGAACCCCTAACAAACGGCTTTGCACTGTGTCTAGCGCGCGATTATGAGCGGCTGACTCTGCAGTTAGCAGCAGGTGACCTTGTCCCGCAGCCCCTGAATCCCTGTCATGGGGCAGGGAGCTGGCTGGAGGGTCAGTCCGGCCCCCTCGCCAGCCTCAGGGTCTGGCCTTTCCTCCGTGAGTGGCAGAATAGCCTCCACTTACCCTTTCTCTCTCATGCTCACCAAAGGTATCCAAGAGTCTCCAGTGCCAAACGGCCACTCACTTCCAGGCAGAGACTTCCTCCGGAAGCAGATGCGGGGAGATCTGTTCACACAGCAGCAGCTGGAGGTGCTGGACCGCGTGTTCGAGAGGCAGCACTATTCAGACATCTTCACCACCACGGAGCCCATCAAGCCCGAGCAGGTACGCTGTGACTCCTGCCCACGACACCTGCTACCACCGTGCAGGCCTGGGTCATTCCTGGATGCAGGGGCATCTGTACAGTGAGGCCGAGAGTCTTTGCAAAGTGGGCTTTTTGTTGGTGTTGGCCAAGCTTGGCTGGTCACAACATCCCACAAGGCCAGGAGGATTTGCTCAGGGGGCCTCTGAGGCTCCTTGGCCTGCTAGCTCTGTCTGTAGCCAGCCACAGAGGCACGTGATTTATATGGTTGCTCTGCCACTAACGAATGTGTGCTTTCCTGGGGCTCTTTGGATAGGGGTGTATGTGATGAACTTCTGGGTCACTCCAGGTGGTTTTGCCATCCTCTCAGTTAGGAACATGATCTCGATATATAGTCTCACTTTGTGGCCTTGGGCTCACAGTAATGGAGTGGATGGATGATATCTTGTGATCTTTGGCCTTTGCTTGGCATCATGGGACTCCTGGCAGGTGTGGCTAGGCCAGGCATTGGGTCAGTCATCAGAAGGCACTGCTCTGACAGGTAAGTCAGACACCAGCTTTTCTTTTATGGCTCTCTCTGAGATGAGGAGATTTTTACAGACCATTTAGGCAGTTTGCTTTCAGATGGGGAAACTGAGGCCCATAGAGACAAAGCAGCTTGCATAAGACTGCTCAGCAAGTATTCACTAAGCAAACACTGGCAACTGTCTAGTAAGGGGAAGGCACGGAACCAGATACTATGTGCCCATCAGTGAGCAGATAAGCTTGGATTCACCCCTAAACCTGCAGATTTGTAGAAGAATCACAGCTTGGTACTAAAGAGATGTCTAAGTTCCTATGAGACTAGCCAGCTTGGACACTGCCATAGTAAACAACAATAGGGGTATGGACGTGGAGGAAGGTGTCTGGCAGAGCGAATGTCAAGGGCAAAGGCCCTGAGCTGAGGTGGAGAGACCAGGAGTGGAAAGATCCAGTGTGACTGGGATTCAGGGAACAGGGTGGGAGGACACACTGAAGAGATGAGCCTGGTCATACGGACCGAGGGAGGATGTTGCTCATTCTCTCACAAGTTAAGTGACCCCTCCCTTGCAAGTGACATGGCCATGTGTACTGGGCAGAGCTGACCCCATCCTAGAGCCTGGGTTTGTGGAGGAGACTCTCTCAGAGAGCCGCCCTCCACGGCTGAGTCTTTCTGAGAGCTGATAGAAGCCACATTTTATCTGAGCTGTGGGAGACATAAATAAGAGACCAAGGGTCCAGGGCTCTGTGCCCAGCCTGGCTTTCCCACACAAGGTTGCCAGCGTCTCCATTAAACCAGTACGAATGAAACACAGACACTGAGTGTCGAGTCCCTCTGCGTTTCGTGGGAGTCTCACAGAAGCCCAGAAGCTGTGTTCCACTTTATCCATTTAAATGTCTGGGAAGATGGGCCCAAGAGCAGGCATTCACTGGGAGGCATCCCAGAACTGTCCAGGCACCTCCTCGCTCGCTCTGGAGCTCGCCGGTCCAACACATTTCCTGCATCTGAGCAGTGGGCCCAGAACAGTGCCAGACTCGGAGGGGGCAGAGGCACAAGCCAGGTGTCATCCCTGTCAGTTCTTTCGCAGAATGGTGTGAAGTGAACTCAGGAGCCACAGACCTGAGAAAGCTCGATGGTTGATGTGGAACACTGAAGAGGGGAGGCATTAGCAGTGAGGGTTGCACCGAGGGCAACCGTATTGAGGAGGGAATGCTGCACAGATCCCAGGGCCAAGGCCATACGGGCTCAGGAGGAGATGAGGCCCAATAGCGAGGAGGCCCGAGCTGTGCGGGTTCTGGGAAGATGTGTTTCTGCGGTGTCCTTCAGAGCGCTGTGGCCTGGTGCAGGCCCGACTGTGAGTTCCGAGGCAGGATAATGACAGACTCAGTGTCTTCTGGCTAATCCGCTTCACCTCTCTGAGGCACGCCGTAATGAGGAGAGATGGAAGGTGAGGCCGGAGGGCGCCCTGCACACAGGCAGGCACTGGACTATGAATGACGCACCCTCGCGCACTGTTCCCAGTCACTAGGGACAAATGATGACTTGAGCTGAGCAAGGGGCTGCTGCAGGGTAAGACTCGTGCATCAAGGGTATGAGCTCCTCGAGCCCCCTCCTGCTCACTGTCTTCTGAATGACTGTTCGCGGGCGCTGCCTGTCCCCTTGTGGTCCCCCCAGAGTGGTATGGCAGTGATGGCAAGAAGTGGGCCCCTGAGCTGCTGGCTGTGGAGACTGGCCATCTCATCCACTTGCCAGCAAATCAAGTGGCCTGCGTCTCTGTTAGTGGCCTGGCGCTGGGCTTGTTGTTACTTTCACTGAATGATCTAATGGGGGCTATAAAGTTATGTCCTGACTGAGGAGCTGGGATTTTGCTTTGAGCCCTGCCTCTGCGTTGTTGAACTCTTCACTTTTTTCCTGGACCTCAGTTTTCTTATTTGTGTAACCACAGTGGACAACAACAGCAGCTGCAGCCAACTGACAGTAAGAGCAGAGGTTAGTCACCTCTGCGTGACAGGGACTGAATGCGGCCCACACTGGACTGTCCCTTTAAATGTCCCCCAAGAGGCTGGGTCATACCGCTGAGGCCGTTTATGGATTTGAACTTTGAAATAAACTGTGTACCCATTTTCAGGCCCAGGATGGTTGAGGCTATAAGACTAGAGTCTGACCTCAGGCTCTTCCCTGTCCTCGTGTTGTTCAAGATGGTGTCATGGGTCTTTGTGTCCTGGAGGGTTCTGGGACCTGTTCCTGGACTGGCTAGTGTTTGCCAGGCCTTCCTCAGACAGTCTGTGGGTCATTCCAGGACATACACGGGCCTGGACAGATTACCCATCCCATTCCTGGGAAAAACATCACTAACTTAATGCCAGGGTGGCCCCGAGGTCACCGTTGGGAGCCTTTCCTGCTAATTTCTGCTCTGAGTGGGTGGCCATCTTGGACTGTCTTTCAAGGGAAACTCAGAATCCCCTTTGTCTTGGTGGAAAAGGTTAAGGAGACTCACTCTGGGCCAATGAAGCACTTCTTTCTCAAAATGGTTATTGAAAAAGTAGTTCTGTTTTCCCTAGATGACGGGCAAGTGAAAGTTACCACAGAGCAAGAGAAGTGGGGGCAAAAAAAAAATCTGCTGTTGTGAGTGCATGCATGTCTGTGTGTGTGCATGCGTGCATGCATGTGCGTGCCTCCTTGTATGTGTGTGTGTGTGTGTGTTCACAGCTGTGCGCAGATGCACATGTATGTCCAGAAGTGGAATCTGTTTCAAACTCAAGTTGATGCTGGCTGTCACTGTGGTGGGCACTGGCTGTGGCAGAGTGGGTCCCTCCTCCGGCCACCGGGAGGACGCAGCCGATTGCAGCCTGCTGTATTTACCCTCGGCAGACTATTAACCAACACTAGGCTATTAATCTGGCTTTTGAGCCTTCACTAAAGCCCATAAAAGCTCACAGTTGTCAAATGGAGTTCATTTTAATTTCCTTTCAATCACAGTAAATTATTCAGGTGATAAATCAGCTGGAGCAGCCTCCTGGCTGTAATAGAAACCCTAATTCCTGGCTAATTATCCAGCCCATTGCTGCCAACAGATCAATACGGGAGCAAAATGGAACGGGCCCAGGGCCCTCCCTCCCATTGGGGCAGAGACAGAGAGACAGCTGGGGACGGGGATGTGCTGCTGACCTCCTGGGAAGTTCAAAGGTCATGGGGGGTTAAATCAGGAGATGGCCTGTTCCTTGTCTAACAGAAAGCCGCCAGAAGTACCTCCTGTTCTCTGGAGCAGCTTTGCCCACTGCATGGTGGCTCTTCTGTATGCCAGCAGGTGGACTGGTTTCTAACTTGGCCTGATCCCATGGGCATCCTCCCCGGGGGAAGGGGTTGGTTGTTGGCATCACCCAACAAGACTGATCTTATTCTTCAGGGGCAGACTCAGAAGCTACCAGGAACCAGAATAGAGGCCTGGGCATTGGGGACGGATGTGAGACTCTGGCTTCAGGGGGCTCGTTTTCCTCCCTGGTGTATGTGTGTCCTGTCGTGAGGAGGTGAGGAGGGATAGGGAGACGGGTATATCATCAGGCCACACTCACAGGAAGGTTCCTGGGGATGTCTGGAGGACTGGGCAGATCTGGGCCTGTGGAGACGGTAGTGTTGCCTGGAAAGGGTGTTCTGCACAGCTGGAAGGGCACACGCAAAGGTCTGGAGGATGCCAGCATGGGGCCGGACTATCATCTGAGTGACAGGAAGTCAGGGACTCAGATCCCAAGTGAGGACATTTGCTCCGAGATCAGAAAGTCTCAGAGAATCCAGGTGCTGTGGCCTGGACCATGCTCCCTCCTAGGAATCCATCTTCACTGGGACTTTTTGCCTCTTGCCTTGCCCCGGTGTGGTCATTGGAGCTTTCCTCCCGCAGCCCACCCCGCACAAGAACTGCTTGTGGTTTCCTCCCTAGTCTGTCCTTTTCAGAACTGTTCACTGTCCCCTGTCCCTTCACTTGCCCATAAGATGTTCTTGCTCTGGCTGGGCCTCACCCCCCTGCACTACAGGAGCCGAGCTGCTTCTGTGTCAAGAGGGTTACTAACCTGTCTCTCAGGCTGGCATGTGCACATGTATGGTACGCGCCTGCTTGTGGACACGAGGAAGAGCTTGGCAAGTGCTTAGCGGCACTTTCTTTGATGCTGTTCACACTCCAATCTGCTGCTCACTGGTACCCTGCACGGAGCATCAGTCCACACCTGAATACACATCCCTGTCCCCTTGGTCCAGGCCAAGCAAGAGTCCTGTCTACTCTTGTGAGTCACCCATGGCCCCGTGTTTGACTCCTGTTTGACTCAGGCTCACAGAGTGCTAACTCTTACCGTAGAATCATAGCCAGTGTGTGCTCACTGCTCACCATGGACCCTGGCAGATTCAGCAAAGAGCCACTCGATGCTTCTTCCTCCCACAAGAATCTCCGTCAGCCCACTATGCAGACGGCACAGCGAAGGTCCAGTGAGAAGGCTGTACCATGGCTTAGCCAAG